GGGCCCGCCACGCTGCTGGCGCTGTGCGTGCAGCACTCGGCCCGCGAGCTCGAGCTGGGCCACCTACCGCGCCTGCTGGGCCGTCTGGCCCGTCTTATCAAAGAGGCCGTCTGGGTGAGCGCCCCCAACCGGTGCCTAGCGCCACACGCACCCCAGCGAGTCCTTCCTGGCCTCCGCTCCCACCTTTAGCACATAGTTCTTAGCTGGGCTGGAGGAAACTACGTCTCCCAAGATGCCTTTGGAGGCCCCTTGGGATGCTGGGAGTTGAGGATTCACCCATTATGCTGGAAGATAGGGGGAGACCTAGTGTGACAACTGTAGATACCATTCTGCGAGGTTGGGGGAGGAGAACCCGTTGGATGAGAAGAGAGAGCCATTGGGCGGGACCATTATGAGAAGTGAAGCTGCCATCCCATTGGCTCTTAAGCAGTAGTGGGTGAAACCATTCTGGGAGGCAGGGAGAACAACTGCATTGCACCTGCAGATGGAAATGACAAGGAGAAACCATTCAGAGTGTGGAGAAATGTTCCATGTCACTGAGCTAGGGCATGGTTAGAAGATTTAGAAAGTTTGTTGAGGGTAAGAAGAAACTCCATTTGACCAGAAGAAGGCTTGAGGAGCTAGACCACGTATTATCATAAGTATGTGTGTGTAAAATTCTCTGTAAAATGTAAGAAAAGGGAGAGAGAATATTCTGAAATTTGAGGAGTAGAGTCCAGTTTGTGGGGAGAGGGTGAAAAAAAGATGCTTCTAAAAAACCCAAAAGCCCCTTCCTCCTCTAATTCCCACCTCATTCTTGATTCTGATCTTCTCGTTCTGCAGGAAAAGATTAAGGAAATCGGAGACCGTCAGCCAGAGAAGTAAGAGGAAATATGGGGAGGAAGGTCGGCGTTCTGGGTTTGCATTCAATGCTGGGTTCACTCCGAGCATGTCACAGCGCAAGTCTTTGTTCTACGGGGGTTGGTCTTAGTCACCGACTTAGAAACAGTTCTCAGGGTTTGGACACCGTGGTGGGGGTTAGCGAGGGATCACCGTTCTCCCTTCCTCCTTCCCCAGCCACCCTGAGGGCGTCCCTGAGGTGCCCCTGACCCCTGAGGCTGTATCCGTGGAGCTGCGGCCCCTCATGTTGTGGATGGCTAACACCACGGAGCTGCTAAGCTTCGTGCAGGAGAAGGTGCTGGAGATGGAGAAAGAAGCTGACCAGGAGGGTGAGCCCTAACCCAGGCCCAGGCCCTACCAGGCATGCTGTCCCGCCCCTCACCTGGGGCCCTGGCCTCCTGCCTGCCAGCCCCTAGTCTCCCTCTCATCCCTGGCCCTGTTCTCAGACCCACAGCTCTGCAATGACTTGGAATTATGTGATGAGGCCATGGCTCTCCTGGATGAGGTCATCATGTGTACCTTCCAGCAGTCTGTCTACTACCTCACCAAGGTTGGTCTTGCCCCTTGCTTCCTGTTTTAATCTAACATCACTTCCTGTTTGAAAGAGTGTTGCTCTGATGTCACTTCCTATTTCCTGTGCAACACTTCCTGCTTCTATGACATCACTTCCCATTTCACCCCCAGCACTTTGTTATTCTGACATCACTTCCTGTTTGAGTTTCCATAACTTGTCCTTTTCCGGTTTCTTTTCCTGTTTCTGCAACCTTGCCAGGTTGACCCCCCTACCTGGTTGTATCACCATTACCACTCTCTTAAACTCCTGTTTTCTCAGTCTCCTTTTCAGTCACTGATAAGTTACAAATATTCATCAATGGCTATGGTGAGCCATGTGCTGTCATTTCATCTAAAGGTCCTCTTTAATCAAGCCTCACGTCCTGTGTGTTCTGACCTCACTACTGATAGCCCTTATACCACTCTTTTTTCTGAATCATGGGCCTTTTATCTCCCTGGTCACCCTTTGTGCAGGATCTGCTTTCTGTCCCAGCTCACCACCACCATCCGTGACCGTCCTCCTCAACCCTAGCAATGCTTCTTAGAATTTTCAGGATTTCTGGCTTACTCAGGGCCTGACCCCCTACCTGTGAAGTTCATGGAGCTCTTTTGGAACAGATAGTCTCCAAGCACCTCTAGCAGCCCTGGTTCGTGAAGCCCTTTCCTCCAAGGCTTCACTTCCTGTGCATCCTTGCCAAGCGAGGTTTTAGTTCTTCTCTGGCTCTGACCTCATTTCCTGTCCTTGGCCTGATTTCACTTTCCACTGACTGATTGACACCCCACCCCCACTTCCTGATCTCCATTCTTCTTTCCTTTGAGAATTCTGGATAAATAATTCTTTGACTGAAGATTGCCTCTGTGTCAAGTATCCTTTGTCCTTCTTGAGTTGCCTCTGTGGAAAACTACGAGTTCCATCATGCATTGGAAGTGGTTTCAAAGTACCCAAGAAAGTTGTGTGGAAAGTCTTTCTCAAGACTTGAAGCATGTCAGACCTGATAAATGCTAGAAACTTGTAGAGATTTGCTCCTAGAGACCCTGAGGGCATTAGAGATAGAATGGACTACAGCTCCCTGAAGCCTGTTATCTTTATACTGTACTGCCCTATTTGGAGTTCTGGACTGCTAACCAGAACGTTGGTGGTTCAAACCCACCAGCAACTCTGTGGAAGGAAGACTGGGCAATCTACTTCTGTAAAAATCTACCACCTCGGAAACCCTAAGAGAGTCACTCTGAGTCAGAATCGACTCGATGGCAGTGAATTTGGTGGGTGTTTTTTTTTTTTTTTTTTTGCCCCTGATGCTTCCTGGGCGTTGTAGTCCAGTCATTTGTTCTCACCTCCATATCTCCTCAGACTCTGTATTCCACGTTGCCTGCTCTCCTGGACAGTAACCCCTTCACGGCTGGAGCAGAGCTACCAGGGCCTGGTGCCGAGCTGGGGGCCATGCCCCCAGGGCTGAGACCTACCTTGGGCGTGTTCCAGGCAGCCCTAGAACTGACCAGCCAATGCGAGCTGCACCCAGACCTCGTGTCTCAGACTTTCGGCTACTTGTTCTTCTTCTCCAACGCATCCCTTCTCAACTCGCTGATGGAACGAGGTGAGGGCTGGGCTGAGAGGGCATAGGAAGGCAGAAACAGGAGCCACCAAGACCCATGTCAAGGTAGACACACCACCACAAGTTCAGACCTCACCTTCAGGCCTAAGGAGAGCTGACTCCGGTTCCTGTATTGATGGAAAAGAATGGCCCAGAGTTCATGAGAGCAGGGTCCGTGCACTCAGTGTTCCTCCTACCCTCCCCCCACAGGTCAAGGCCGACCTTTTTATCAGTGGTCCCGAGCTGTCCAGATCCGAACCAATCTGGACCTTGTCCTGGACTGGCTACAGGGGGCTGGGCTCGGTGACATCGCTACTGAATTCTTCCGGAAACTCTCCATGGCTGTGAACTTGCTCTGTGTACCCCGTACCTCCCTGCTCAAGGTGACTCCCAGTCCACTCGACCTGACTCCTACCTTCTGGTCCCCCAGCCCCACACCCAGCCACCCTCTGTGTTCAGCTAACCTTTGGATCCCCCTCCCTTGGGCCCCATGTCATCTCCGACTCCAGTTCAGACATTAGACTTGGCAGCCAGAAGGAAGCCAGCACGAACAATGTCCAAACTTGGCTGTGTTTGAATCTCAGTGGGAATAACTAAACATAGTTTCCAGAGCCTCTCCCTCACACATACTGATTCTGGAAGTCTGGTATGAGACCAAGGAATGTGGTGGTTCAAACAGTCACGTCAAGCACTGTACTTAGCACTTTTCATTGAAAGCTGATGAAGGCCCACAAAGTACGTTATTTATTGATAGGCAGTTTTTCCAAGGAGGGGGAAGAAATCGAGTAGACTATGTCACTTGGTTTTTATTTATTTATTCTTACATATCCAACTTGTACAGAATATTCACTAAGCACCAGGCAGAGATCTGAGTCCTTTATCATCTTAACATACTGAGTGTTCATAGCAACCCAATTAGATAGTTCCTCTTATTCTCCCCCAATTTACAGATGAAGAGACTGAAGAGAGTGACAAGCTGAGATTTGTCAATGTAGGCAGTCTGAGTCCAGAATCTCTTTTAACCACACTGATGATTCTGACACCAGTTCTGTTTGGTGTGGGGATTTTCAAACACATTCAAAAAGCAGCCACAGAGAATAATAATTCCCCCCCCATGTGCACATCATTCAGTAATATAAGCCAACAGCCAATCTTGTTTTTTCTCTGCCCCCATACAGTCCTTATATCTTCTTTTATTCTGAAACATATTCCCCCTTTTAAAAAATTTTTTTAAATTCCTGAGCGTATGGGCTTCTCCACCATGACTTCAGTGATAATAAGGCCTCACGGTATGCAGAAGACACTCCACACACTGTATTGTCTGCCCCCAACAGCCACCCCCCTTATGAAGGACCTTTTATTTAGTATTTCTCAGCCACCACCTAATGACCTTAGACTTCTCATCCCACCAGGCTACATGGAGCAGCCTACGAACAGACCATCCCACCCTGACCCCCGCTCAGCTCCATCACCTGCTTAGCCACTACCAGCTGGGCCCTGGACGTGGGCCACCATCTGCTTGGGACCCTCCTTCTGCAGAGAGAGATGCTGTGGACACAGGTGAGGAGAAACAAGGATACAAGCTTTAGGGCTATGAGCTTTTTTCTTTCCTTGGGTCCCAGGAATTAAAATACCATCCCCTCCTCGTCCTAATTTAGGATTCTGAACTTCTAGTCTTTTCCTCCCTCAGGACCTAAGTGTGTGGACCCCAGCTCTCTTCTCCTCCAGGATCCAAATGTTCAGGTCTCCAGCTCCCATTTTGTTTGAGACATTCAGGACCATAGCTTCTTCATCCACCCACTGAGAAGTTCACACTCAGACCCTGCAGCCTCAGGAATCCCTAAGACTAAGTTCCCCACTATTCTGTCCTCACCTACTTAGGAACCCAAACACCAGCCCCGTTTCCCAGGCAACGGTAGCCATTCATGGTTTGGACTACGGTTTGGACTACAACTCCCATCATGCTCTGAGACTCTCATTTGCGTAGATTTTGCTGTAGGAGTTAACTAGTTGAAATTCTTCCTTCAGGCGTGAGGCGGACTGTCTCTCCGTGACACAGCCACCTCACCCCTATTTTTAGAATTTAACCGTTACCCCTTCGGTCTCACAGGGGACATCTTTGAAAGCTTCTCCTCCCACCCTCCCCTCATCCTGCCCCTGGGTAGCTCGCGCCTGCGTCTCACGGGTCCCGTGACAGACGACGCCTTGCACCGTGAACTGCGCAGGCTCCGACGCCTCCTCTGGGACCTCGAGCAGCAGGAGCTGCCGGCCAATTACCGCCACGGACCTCCCGTGATCACGCCTCCTTGAAAACCAACAGTAGAGGAACCAGGAACCTTGAAAATTCATCGGCTCCTACTGACTTTAGCCCGCCTGGGCGCAGCTCCTTCTGGGAATTGTAGTTCTTTTCTCCGCATGGACTGCTGGGAGTTTGAGTCTTCTGGTAGCAAGGATGGGACGGTGGGAGTATGGGTTTGGAATGTGATTGCTGAGGAGTAATAAAGGTATTTCTGACATTGGCAGCACTCACCTGTTAAGGCTCCCAGGCGCTGGTGATGATTTTCTGCAGAATAAGGTATTAGAGGAGCTCTGGTAGCGTAGTGCCAAAGGCATGTGACTGCTTAACCAGAAGGCTGGTGGTTCAAACCCACCAGCCACGCCTCCCAAGGAAGACTGGGCAATCTACTTCCATAGTGATACTGCCTCGGCAACCCAAGGAGGGGTCGCTATGAGTCAGGGCGGACTCGATGGCACATAAGAACGACGACAGGGTATTGGCTTCTTTGCTTGGACCACAGCTCTGGTGGCGCAGTGGTTGATGCATTCCGCCACTAACCACCCTGGAGAAAGATGAGGCCATCTACTTCTGTAGAGTGACAGCCTTGGGAGCCCTATGGGGCAGTTTCACTCTGTCCTCTAGGGGCGCTGTGAGTCAGAATCGACTCCACGGCAGTGGGTTTGGTTTGGGCTTTGCTTCTGTGAAGATTGACAGCCTTGGAAACCCTAGGGGGCAGTTCCACTCTGTTCTCCAAGGGCGCTGTGAGTCACAATGGACTAGATGGCAGTGGGTGGGTGCCTAGAGCTCTGGGCTCCTGCCCAAGGAGATATTTATAGTCATGGCCTGGGCTTGCCCTCCTGGGGCTGGTAATCCAACCCAGGCTCAGTGGAACCTCCTACACACCTCAGAATGGAGCCCTGAGCTCACTCTGCCAAATCTTTTGCCCTTAGTCTCGCTGTTCAGAAGTAACCTTACCGCCCATCTACCTGCAAAATCCATACTCTACTTCTGCCAGACCCAGGAGTCTGGGCCCCCAGCCCCCTCCTGGACCTTTGGGCCCCGCATCCAGCCTTCTCCCTGGAGAAGCCTTTTCTTTCTTTTTCTGTCTGACCTGCACGTGGCAGATGTAAATCTTGACCCTGTTGCAAGCATCCCTCCTCTTTAAAACCCAGGAGTCCAGGCCGCCGAGCCTCTCCTCCTTTGGACCCAGGAGTCCCCGCCCCCAGCCCCTTCTTTCAGACCCAGGAATTCCCGCCCCCAGCCCCCTCCTCCCTCCGACTCAGGAGTCCCGGCTCCCAGCCCCTCCTCCCTCAGATTCCGGAATCTCGGGCCGCCCCTTCCTCCCCCAGACCCAGGAGCCTGCGTTTCCAGTTTGAACTTTTCACTCCCCTGAACCCGACTCTGGCTGCTGCGTCAGGGAAAAAGCAGGCGACAGGTGGCACCTGCCGGCCGGGCCGGGACTCGACCACCTGCCGCTACTGCTCACCCCGCGCCCCTCCGCAGGCACCTGCCCCTGTCAATCCGCGCGCTGTCCCGCCCGACCCCGCAGTCCCGGGTCGCGGAGGTGGAACGAGGCGGGGAACGCCGGAGTCCGCCCCGCCCCAGACCCGCCCAGCCCTTCCCCTGCTCGGGCTCCCGGGCGGGGCTCCCGAGTGCCCGGCACGCCCCTGAAAGGGGGTGGTGGTGTCCCAGCTAGTGGGGCGGAGCCTGTGGCCTCCGGTCCGGACCGCGGGACCCAACCCACCCCATAGCACAGCTGCGTCGAACCTACCTGGTGAGGAGCCCTGGGGTGCAGGGGGGAGCCCCTCAACTCTTCTGTCACCTCTCTGGTCCCAGGGCCTGAGACCCCACCCATTCTCTTCTGAGATGCAGGTGGCAGTGACCCTACAACTACCCTTGGATCTGCCAGGACCCCTTCCCCCTCTAGACCCACGATCTTGGGTTCTAGTCCCTTCAGAGAATCAAGAGTTGTGCCCTTAACTCCCTCCCCTTCCCAATTCAGTTCAGGCCTGGCCCCTGCCTCCCCTCTCATAGACCCAGGGGGTCGGGCCCCAGCCCCTCTTCACTCAGATCAGGAGTCTTGACCCCCAGACCCCAGAATCCTGGTCCCCCAGCTCTCTGCTCCCTCAAACCTTGGAGTCTTGACACACTCCAACCCGGCCCTCAGGCCCAGCACCCCTGACCCCCCAATCCCCTCTTCCCTCAGAACCAAGAGTCCTGACCCCCAGATCCTCCTCCCTCAGAGCCTGGAGTCTTGACAACCCCCCCCCAGTCCCTGTTCCCTCAGACCCTACAGTCCAGGCCCCCAGCACCCCCTCTTCCAGGATCCAGCGTTATGTTCTGGGGGAAGCCGGTCCGATTCCGACCTCCCTCAGTTCCTCTCCCTGTAAATTCACGCGCAAGGAGGGCCTCTGAACTCCACTCTGACCCTGCACCCTGTGGGGGCCTGGTCTTGCCCCCCCCCCCAGTGCAGGTCCCATCCTGGCCTTGGCCATGACCCTGGCGGCTTCCTCCCAGCGCTCTCAAATCATTCGCTCCAAGTTCCGTTCTGGTGAGAAGCTTCTCCTCCGAGCTCGTGGGGAGGGGGACCTGCCTGGGGGTGTGCACGGAGCTGGGAGCGGGACAGGAGGCCACGGGGGACACGGTGTGTTTTCTGTGCAAAAGGTCACTTGTGCACTAAGGAAGGAGGGGGCGAGTTCAGGTGGGTCCGTGAGTGTGTGAACAATGTTTTATGAGCAGTGGGGAGTGGGTGGGTGTGTAGAAGGGCTTACCGTGACAAGTGTCCAAAGTAGAGTAGGGCCCTCCTTCTGACAGACGGGACACCGAGGCACCAAGCCTTGCGAGTGTCAAAGGGCCAGGGCAGGCAGAAAGCATGCCTGTGGGTTCCTAAGAATTACCACTGGGGTCAGTCCCGTGAGCGTGTGGAGCGTGCTTCTGTGGGTGGGTGGGTGCAAAGACCCCAGTAAGCTAAGCGCACGGTGGGCACCAGAGGGTGCAGGCGTGCGGAGAGGAGCAGAGACGTGCAAAGAGACCCCAGAACGGGGCTGAACCCCAAGTGTGCAAATCGTAGGGGAACTCGTGCCGAGACAGTGAGCCAAGGATGAGCTAAGGATGCAGAAGGGTCAGCGTGCACAAGAGCCGCGTGTGTGCAAAACTGGAGCTCAGGGAAATGTGTGTTTATAGGGTGGGTGTGCAAAGGATGAGTATGGCAAGAGCCAGAAGCAATGCAGGTAGGGGCAGGTGTGTGCAAGGCAGGGTACGCGTGCAACTGGAGGCAGAGTACGAATGGGCCAGGCTGCTAAGATGGCGATTGTGCCGGGGGGGGGGTGTGTGGCAGGGAGGAGTGAAGTGGGGTGGGTACAGGCTCTCCAACAGGGCCCGTGGAGCCAGGCACAGGGCTGATTTCTGCCCACACACTGGCTGGCTCCTGGCCCCGGAACGGCCCTGGCCCTCGGCACTTTGCTGGCAGGGAGCAGGCAGGAGGCCCGGGAAAGGGAGCGGGCTGCCCGCCCACCCGGGCGTGTAAGGGGCTGGGCACGCGTGGCCCGCCAACATCTGCGGCTCCCGCCCGCCCGCCAGGCCAGGCTCCTGGCTGGACACTCCCTTCCCGCCTTCCTCCTCCCACCTCCCTCCACAGTCCTCCAGCTGCGGATCCACAGACGCTATCAGGATCCAAGTAAGTGTGGGCCCCTGGAAGGGCGGGCATGGTGACCCCACTCTGTGTGGGGAACGATTGTCCCTGGAGTGTGGCTGCCAGATACCTCCAACGGGCTCCTGCTCCTTGGTCCCTCGCAGCCCCAGACACACATAAATCCAATCCTGTCCTTTGCCGAAGACCCAGGAGTTCGGGGTCCCTGCTACCCCACCCCATAGAAGCCCTGCTTCGCGCTCTTCAGCCCCCACCCCCACCCCGTGCCCCAAGGGGGTGCGTGAATCTAGATCCGGCTTCTTGGGACTCCATACTTGGCACATAGAACAATCAAGAACCGGGACTCCAGGCCCCACCCTTGTCCCTTCAAAAAGGCCAGAAATCTCTGCTCTTGGGCTCCCACACGCCTTGGTAACCAAAGACATGACTTTCAGCCTTTCTTGAGAATGTAGACGTCTGGGTCCCTGTCCCTCCGCTCTCAGATCCAGGAGACCCCGCACCTAGCTCCTCACCTATGGGGGAGACTCGGGGCTTTGCTCTGCGGGCCAGGCCTCCTGCATGGAAGGTCCCGGGGCCTCCGGAGCCCTCCTTCCTGCAGCCCCGCTCCTCCGCGCCTGGCTCTCCGCCTGCAGGCCTGCAAGGAGCCTTCACCTTCTCTCCAGCCTTGGATCCAGATCCGTGGATCTCGGCCCCAGGCGCAGCTGCTCTGGCCCAGGCCCCAGTCTCTCCCTCGGGCCCCGCCCCTTTCCTCTTCAGCCCTGGGGTCCTGCTCCCTGAGCCTGAATACCGGCCTTGGAGGTCTCCGAAGAAGGTGAGTCTGAGAGTGGAGTGCGGGTAAGTCCCCCCTGAGGTCTAGCCTTGCTCTTCTTGATGTGTTTTTTGCTCCTCTCTGGTCTTCCCAAGTGGACCCCAGTCTTTGCATGAGGCTCTGGGGCAGGAAGGAGGGAGCGGAGCTGATGGACAGACCCTCCTGCCGGTTTTTACAGCAATCTCCTAAAACCTCTCCTCGTTGGAAGAAGCCGAAGCCCAAGGGGAACTTGACCTACCACCAATACATGCCCCCAGAACCAAGACAGGGGTCCGGGGGAGACCCCCAGGCTGAGGGGACGGCTCTGGGACCCTCTGGGGCACCCCTATGGGAAGGAGCGAACATACAGCAACCGCAGCTGAGGTATGGCACCTCTGATTCAGTTCTTCCGAGACCCAGAAGTTCAACCCCCCCCACCTCCAGCGCCCCAAAACCTATAAAGTCCAAGACCAGGGCCCTGGAGACCCGGCCTCCATTCCCTCCTCACCAGGACTCAAAAGTTTAGGACCCTAAAGCCCAGGCCCCCAGCTCCCCAGGAACCCAGGAGTCAAGCCCCTCAGCCACTCCCTCCAGGTCCCAAGTGCTTCCAGGCCACAGGAATGTTGCATTTGCTCCCTGAATCGTTGCTCTTCCCGAATTTCCCCCCCTTTGATCCTTCTGTTCCTCTAACATCTGTTCCTCCGCAGGACTATGGCCGGCTTGAAGCCCACTCCCTCCCCACCAGGACCCCCCAGCCCCTCGCCCCCTCCCCACAAGTTGGAACTAAAGACCCTTAAACTGGAGGAGCTGACGGTGAGTTTGGGGAGGAACTTTCCAGGCCGTCCCCTCCAACGGCGGGGCTCCTGAGGCTAGCTCTGCTGCCTTTAACCCATCGGAAACCCAGGAGTCCGGGCCCCCTAGTTTCATCGAGCCCGCCCAGCACGGCCTCTTCCCGCGCCCCACCCCAGGTCTCAGAGCTCCGGCAGCAGCTGCGCCTGCGGGGCCTCCCGGTGTCCGGGACCAAGTCGATGCTCCTGGAGCGCATGCGCGGCGGCGCTCCGCCCCGCGAGCGGCAGAAGCCCAGGCGAGAGGACAGCCCCGCGGGGGCTCCCTGGCCACGCCTCAGGCCTAAAGCCCTAGGAGCCGCCCGGCGGCAAGCCTCGGTGAGGGCGGTACCTTGGGCGGGGCTGTATGCATGGAGACCAATGGGGAGAACCCACAGTAGGATGGGGCGGGTAGTGGGAACAGAGTAGCCAATGAAACGTAAGGGATGAGTCCTGGGGCGGGGAAGCTCGAGAAGCCAGGGGGCGTGTTTCAGAACAAAGAGGGCAGATACTAAGCGAAGCGAGCCAATGAAAGAATAGGGGGTGCGGCCGACGGCTGAATGCTGAGGGAGGAACTGCGTGAGGGGCGGAGCCACAGATGGCCGAGTTGGTGTCCAGTGGGCAAGGCTTCTAAGAAGCTGCTCTGTTCGCGCATCTAGTTCAAGTCCAGTTCAGCGTCTGGCCGGCCCCCTCTTCCGCAAGCCTCCGACACCCTCGTGGCGGCTCCGGCTCCGGCTGCAGCCCTGACCCCTTCCTCAGCACCGCCGCCCGCCGCCTTGAGTCTGGAGGAGGAGCTGCAGGAAGCGATCCGGAGGGCGCAGGTGAGAGGCAGCTGGCCGAGGCGGGGCTCGGGGGGGTCTCTGGTCGGGTTTGGGGCCGCAGTCCCAGCGTCACGTCGTTTCTGCCCGTCCACAGCTGCTTCCGAACCGGGGCATCGATGACATCCTGAACGATCCAGTGGAGCCTGGAAGTAAGAGCCAAGCTCCCGGAGCTGTTGGAGAGGAGGGCTGGGGGCCCACGGAGGGAGTTCGGGGCTGAGGTTGTGGGCTCCAGGTCTGAGGGAGGAAGGGGCTGGGGCCCGGACTTCCGGCCCCAGGGAGGGGTGAGCTGAGGGCCTGGTCCCTGCCCTCCACGACTCACTGCCCATTCCTTCCTCCGCAGACCCGCTGCCCCCCATCCCCCTGGACTTCCCTGGTTCCTTCGATGTGCTGTCCGCCTCCGCGGACTCCGAAGGCCTGTCCTCTGTCTTCTCCTCTTCGCTCCCCTCCCCCACTAACTCCCCCGCCCCCGCCCCCAGAGGCCCCATGGACTCCTTGGACTGGCTGGAGGCTCTGAGCGGGGGTCCCCCTCTGGGCTGTGGCCCCCCAGCTCCCAGCATCTTCTCTGCCGACTTCTCTGACTCCAGCGGCACCCGGCTGTGGGATCTGCTGGAGGATCTGTGGTGACGGAATCCGGGGTTTCCTGAAACCCAGAGCCCCTTGTGGGTGGGGAGGTCAAGGAGAAGAGACTCCCTGAGGGAGGGGGCTAGAGCAACCTGTGCAGCTCCTCCCACCACAACAAACACAGGATCGGAGACCACCCTGCCTCACCACCTGACACTTCCCCCAAAAGGCTGCTGATTGGCTACCTGCCCTGACCTTCGACCTTCGCCTGCCTAACCCCCTTCTGATTCCCCCTCGTGGACGTGGGATGGGGGTTCGTTGACTGCCGACAGGGCAAATAAGCTGCTTGCTGCTTCCTTCAGAAACTTCATGGATGTTTTCGTTCCCACCTTCGCTCCCCCACCCTCTGACGGCAGGGCGGCCTGTTGTCTGGGAATCTGGAAGGAGGTCTGTACTTTCTGATGCAGGAGAGGGACAGGGAAGAGTGAGGAGGGAGAATAAATGAGCCGGAGCCCTGGGTTCTCATTGCTGTTGTTGTTGGGTGCAGCAGAGTCCATTCCGACTCGGGGCAACCTTGTGTGTGTGCAGGACGGAGCTGTGCTCCATCGGGTTTCAAGGCTGGGACCTTTCAGAACCAGAACACTGGGCCTATCTTCTGTGGCACTGCCAACAAAAAGTGTGTGTGCTAAGTCGATTCCGTCGCACAGCGCCCCTAGAGGACTGAGTGGAACTGCACCACAGGGTCTCCTAGGCTGTCAGTCTTCACAGAAGCAAAGCCCAAACCACACCCACTGCCGTGGGGTCCATTCTGACCCACAGCGCCCCTAGAGGACAGAGTGGAACTGCACCACAGGGTCTCCAAGGCTGTCAATCTTCACAGAAATAGACTTCTTATTGGAGCAGCTGGTGGATTAGAACTGCTGACTTCTCTTTCAGTGGCTGAGCACTTAACCAGTGCACCACCAGGGCTCCTTGAGGCATCTCTAGGTGGGTTCAAACTGCCTCCTTTGTATGTGTGTGTGATTTGGGTGAAAGTTGACCGAGCAAATTCACTTTCCACGCAGCAGCTCACACACACTTTGTCTCATGACCTTGACTACAATTTCCCACAATGCAACAGCTCCCCTCCCACTTCCTTCCCACAGTCACCTCTTCCCTGTGTCCATCCCTCCATGCACTCCTGTCTCCTGAGCTGTCTCCCTGTGCACACACAGCCCTTCTTCCTCACATGATTGTTCTCTCCAAGGAGTGTATCTACCTCAGGTAAATGTTCAGCTCATATGCCTGTCTTTTGTTTGGCTGGAAGCCACAGGTATGGGTTCACTTCCAGACTTGAAGGGCAGCTAGGGGCCATAGTCTCAGTGGTTCCACCAGGCTCCATCAGCCCAACAAACCTGGTCGCTATTTTTTTCAAATGATTTCCAGTCTTGTTCCACATTGTTCTCCGTTTCTATCCAGGATCTCCTACATGATCCCACTCCGAGTGGCTGACACCAACTGCCGACTTTTTGGTTAATAGTTGAGTGCTTAACTGTTTGCGACACTCAGGGACTCCAGGTTTCATTGTTCGTTTGGTGCCGTCCAGTCGGCTCTAACTCAGAGCAACACTGTGAACCACAGAACGAAACACTGCCCCGTCCCCCACCATCCACACAGTCACTGCTCTATCTGAGCCCATTGTTGCGGCCACTGCGGCAATCCATTGTTGAGGGTCGTCCTCTTCACTGACCTTCCACTTTTCCAACACGACATCCTTCTCCAGGGACTGGTTTCTCCTGATCACATGACCAAAGGACGTGACACGAAGTCTTGCATCTTTGCTTCTAGGGAGCATTCCGGCTGTACGTCTTCCAAGGCAGGTTTGTTCTCATGGTACATTCTCTCTTTCCCCAACTCCACACTTGAGAGGCATCGCTTCTTCATCTTCCTTATTCAGTGCCCAGCTTTCACATGCATTTAAGGCAATTGAAAAGACCACGGCTTGGGTCAGGGCCACCTGAGTCTTCAAAGTGACATCTTTACTCTTTAACACTTTAAAGAGGTCTTTTGAAGCAGATTTGTTCAGTGCAGTACGTCGTTTGATTTCCTGATGGCTGTGTCCATGGGCAGCAAGTTTTCGTTAGTAGTGAGAAGATCAGAAGCCCTGTGTCCAGGGTCAGATTTGGGTGAAAATTTACAGAGCAAATTCACTTTCCATACAGCAGTTCACATACCCTTTGTCTCATGTCATTGACCACAATTTTCCACAATGCAACAGCTACCCTCCCACTTCCCCTCGTTACCTCTTCCCTGTGTCCATCCCTCCATGTCCTCCTGCCCCTTGAGCTGTCTTCCTTTTGCAAGCTGATCTTAACACAAAATTCATGTACCAGTGTTTTGATTTTCTAGCCCCACTCTAACAAAAATATACCACAAAGGGGTGGTTTTAAACAAACAGGGATTTATTCCCATATGGTTTTTGAGGCTAGAAGTCCAAGTTCAAAGTGCCAGCTCTAGGTTCTGGGTGAAAGCCTCTCAACCTTGGACTTCAGTTCTGCCTCTTGATCCTGGCCCCCTGGAGCTACAAATGTCTCTTCACTCGGCAGCTGCTGGCTGCTGAGGTTGACAAGCCCAAGGTCAACAAGTAAAATGGCACAGTCCCAGTATGACCAAAGAACACGGCAGGACACTACTTCAAGTCCAGAGACAGTCCCAAGATC